CGGAGCACTACAAATGGTCGGTCCGGAAACGAATCCCTTGTTCAATGACCAGACCCCACCCCAATCGCAGAGCATTCTCTTTAGATTGTTGGAAGGCCTATTCGCTTCTGTCACGGCAAATCAAAAGCAAATTGTTAATGAGATTGAAATGTTTATGTGCGTAAGATTTTGGTAACTTACGTTTCTAACCGTCAAATTAAAATTTTTAATGTCCGTAGAAAAAATTTAACGCAAACTAAAGATTTGCAGGCAGCAAATTATAGCATCTTAATCAGTTTTTTAACCCTTTACTACGTTTTTTTTTTCGCATGGGAGCTCAGAATTATCTTCCCCCCCCCCCTCTATCGCTTCTATCCTTCGTGGTTGTCATTTATCACCTCCATTTGCATCCCACATTTATAAGAATAGCAATTGTAATTGTTTCATCATCTCTTCTAATCATATACGTGTTCTTTTTTCTCTTTTACTTTGAAACTCGAGATTACTGCATGATTAAAAAAAATTCTCGAACTGTGCGAGCAATGAGTCTACGAGCCTATTATGGGTATATATTATTTTTTCGCGCTATGCTTTGACTATGCTTATTTATCCTTCGCGATACAGATTTGAACTTCGAACCATCTGGTTTGACAAATGTGCACTTCACTTATTTCCACTTATGTCCGGATATGCATTAAATCGGACTTCTCATCTTGAACTTATTCGCCTTTGACGTCTTGTCCGACGATTCGAAGAAAAACTGCAAAGTTATTCCTTGCATTTTGCAGGAGTTCGGGATTGCTCTAATTTCGGGAGTGCAGCCGCTAACTATAAAAGGTCCAACATTATCGCTTTACATGCTTCTCTTCAAATTGCTCCAAATTGCATATTTGAAAATGCTCTAAGGCTCAAATGAGCATTTTTCGAATAATTCATCTATTTTCAACAAAACATATAAAACCTATGAGACCTTTATAACAATTTATTCAATTTCAATAAAACCCAAAAGTTATGTGTGCGGATGAGTTTTGCACATATTTTTGCTCAAAAAGAAGGTAATTATATCGAACTTTCAGATGTCTATCAGCCATACGCCTTTGTAGAGGTGCTTCCAAATTTTTAGAAAGTTTTTCTTTCATCCGATTGTATGAGAAAAAGACCATAACTTTTCTCAGAAAACTTAGAAGATAACAAAGGCAGTTTCGAGAATGCTTGCGAGCCCTCGTTTCTATATTCTTTGAAATAGCCAATTTTATCAGAATCCGATCCTGTCAGATCCAAAAACTATAAACAAATTCTTTCAAATAAACCAATGTCAAATTTTATTCCTATTGCTAGGTGACTTTCTATTTGAGCCATATGAATATTGCTAAACACCTCAAGATCTCAAATTTCAGGAACTCCAATATGTATGCTTTCATCGTTTCACTTTCACAAATCAACAAAAATTTTCTCGTGTTTTCGTTGCTCCTCTTACACCGTTTTAATTTCATGATGTAACAGTTTTTATCCAAATAATTGGTACCCCAGTTGGACGGGAAAATCTGTACCCCAGCTTTCTTACCCGTCAAAGTTGCTTTTTTTTGTAAATTTCTCCTTTACAAGTCATTCTCATTCTTCCTTTCGTAATCCTAGCTTTTTCACCTTTTCTTATTCATCTCTGAACTTCTATAAATGTCACTCCGCACTTTGTCTGCTCGTTTTCTGCTTTTGCATTCGCTCGCTCGTTGTCCTTTGCAAGCGCTTTGGCGGCGCCAACTCTTCGGTGTTTAGAGGGCCGAATACGCTTGAATACGTTGCCGTGCAATCTCGAGATTGGCTTCCGTTCCCCTGCTCCACCCACACTTCAATGTACGCACTCGCTGTTGGAATCGCTGGTGGGTTTAGACTCGATTTTTTGGGGTAGGGGTGGGGGGGGGGGGAGGTTGAGACAACGTATCCAGTCTTGCACCAATATTCGTATACTGTAAATATTTGTTCTAATATCATTGTAAAGACGCTTTAGTGATGAGAAAATTTGTAAATAGTTGGCTTTGTTAAAATTGAGTTTATATATTACTAGCTGGCTTACCCGGCTCCGCCGTATCCGGACCAAACTTGGCACACATACACTTCGGGCCCCGGCGGGTGTCACAGTCCACTTTTCGTTATCGATCGATGTCGATTTTACCGATTTTTATCGATTTTTTGCAGAGTTCACCTACAGGGCTAGGAGTTGGCACAGGGGAGTAATCGAGCATGGGGATTCCGAATACTACATTAGTTTTCAGGATCGTCCATTACTTTTTCGATTTTATCGATTTTTTGAAAATTTGAGCTAGGGGGCTGGAATTTGGCACAGGAGTGTAATCGAGCATGCTGATCACCCCCCTGGGGGTGATCAGCATGCTCGATTACCCCCCTGTGCCAACTCCCAGCCCCCTAGCTCAAACTTTGCAAAAAAATCGATAAAATCGATAATAGTAATCGATAATCCCGAAAACCAATATTGTATTCGGAATCCCCATGCTCGATTACCCCCCTGTGCGAACTCCCACCCCCGTAGCTCAAACTTTGCAAAAAAAATCGATAAAATCGATAAAAGTAATCGATAATCCTGAAAACCAATATTGTATTCGGAATCCTCATGCTCGATTACCCCCCTGTGCCAACTCCCAGCCCCGTAGCTCAAACTTTGCAAAAAAATCGATAAAATCGATAAAAGTAATCGATAATCCTGAAAACCAATATTGTATTCGGAATCCCCATGCTCGATTACCCCCCCTATGCCAACTCGCAGCCCCGTAGGTGCACTCAGTAAAAAAATCGATAAAAATCGATAAAATCGATATCGATCGATGACGAAAAGTAGCCTATGACACCCGCCGGGGCCCGAAGTGTATGTGTGCCAAGTTTGGTCCGGATCGGTTCAGAAATGGAATTTTCTATTCGGAACATACGTACACACATACAGACAGACAGACAGACAGACAGACAGACAGACATACAGACATACATACAAACAGACATTCAGCTTTATATATAAGATAAGTTTGGATTTTATTAAAAATGAATGAAAATTGAAAGACGCTGAAGATCAGATTTTGCTTCAAGTGCCATTAATGAGTGCAGCTCCGAAATATGTATTGAACCGAAAGTTCGTTCGCATAATTTTCAAAAATTTGCAAATTTCTGTTAGAGAAGGCAGGTAGCAAAACCTATTATACCGACTGCTTCAGCTTTTTTTGCAAGTTTCAAATTTTTTACGACAAGCATAATAAATCCGAAAAGTAATTTTTTCCCCTGGTTTCGATCTTCGCAGTTTGCTTTCAGCAAGAGCTATTTTAGGAACTATTGAAATAGACTTGATTTTTTCTTGCAAATAAACATAAACATTTGTAAGTCTGATGAGAAAGATGAAGTTGTAAATTATTGAAAATGGTGCGAACAAACTCTCGGTTCAAGCTAAGACATCATATCAATGAAATCATCGGAGAGAACAACTTTCAGAATTTTCATGGACTTAGTGGACTGCCTAAAGAAAGACAAATGTTTGCTTCATTGGGACATGATTTCTATTATAGAACTTCGGTTCCTTGGGACATTTTGTTATAGAATCTGACCTTATTTGAATCACATCTAAGGCACGTACAGCTAAAATAGCTTCGCAAATGTCAGCAATCCTGAGACACTGTCAAAAAGGGGAAAGGGGTCGAATATGAGCTGAAGGAATATTTTTCTGATTGGATCTTAACGATTTGTTGAAAACATTGTATTATTGATCTTACATAAATAGGAGGCTTAATTTCCTTTCGTACCTATGTATCCTATTTCTAGTGGTTAGATTTACTCATTACTTTGTTTCTGTCATAGACTACTTCCGTTTACGTCACTTATATGCTCAACATACGAAATAATGCATGCATACATATCACACTGACTCACTCTTACATCTTTTTGGAAAAATGTCAAATTGAAATCGTCAAATTCAAGTACCCGTCCAAGAGTTCTCTTTTTCACAAATCTCATTAGAACACATGATTTTCAAGCTTTTATGTGATCTTGTCAGCATAGAAAGTATGGAAAATAAGTGATTTTGAAAAAGGAAATCCATAATTCACCCGTTATGAGAGTCTGTACGTTGTTAGCTATAAACTGCTCAAACCCTTCGAAATCAACATCCGATGCTAGATTCTAACTGTTTTGCATAAGATTAGTATGGTTTAGATCTTACTAATTTTGCCTAGTATCGAATTTGTTGAGCTTGCACGTTTATTTAATGTCTACCATGGAAAGTTTTCTATTTTTATTTCTGAAGTTCCAAACTATTCAATTTGTATTTCAGTTGCAATAAAATTTTATCATCATTTTTCCGCATCGGTGCATGCATGTCTAAAGAATTTTCTGGAAACAGCATACATATTCCTTTCGTCAATTTGCGAATTGACGAGAAATTGTCCTCGATAGAATTAAATTGCATAGCATATGTAATTTCTAAGCATTTTGTGAGGACTGCATACTTATTGGAAAGGGAGTTCTTAGCATAGTTTTTTTTCCGCCACAAGTTTTGCAGGAGATGGATTCACTTTTATGTATCTCTCCATTCTTAGAAATGGCATTTTATAAAACTCTTCTCATAATCATTCGTTCTTACTTTTGAGAACTTTTTAAGCCATTGTTTCACCCTCTCTCCCTCTCGCTTCACTCTTTTCCTTTCCCATTTGGCTCTAACACAGATTTGAGAGATTACTTTAAATCAAAATATAAGTCTATAAAAAAAGTTCTATAAAAAATTGGAGTTATGTGGTGATTTTCCTAAAATCCTGTTTTGGACCTCAAATTTTCTCACCCCGCCTCCTCAAAAAAAAACAACAGAAAGGTTGATCGATTGACTCGAAGCCGTCCAGACACCAACCACCCGTCGTAGCCGTAATGTATGGATGAGATTTGTGAAAAAGCGATTGTTGACCTTGGCCATAACCTAAACAAACATCAAAGCAATGCTTTTCATTACGGGTTCCATGAAAATTATGCATTTTCGAATGCTTATTGGTGTTTGTGACCAATGGCGGCACATAGGTTAGGTAGTAATCGGAAATTGCAAGCTGCAGCGGTTACTGCAATTATTTGAAAGGTCTGGAGGGGGGGGGGGGTACAAAGGCTTTGTTCATAAATAGTGGGGGTCTAACCATACAGTTTAATACAGCAATAGCGAATTATAGTATAGAAAGTAATAAAAATAATTAGCTTTGAAGAAAAAATGTTTCCTTGAATTTCTATATTTTCATCAAAAACCTCATGAAATTACTCACAAATGAACTCTTTTGAACAAATCTAACCTGCGCAAATGTTTTTTTTTTCATTTCCAAATGCAGAAATTTTTTTTAGTGCTCCACCTAACTCTCGTCCATGCCACGCCCACTCAGATACAACTCGTCCACGATCTACTCGATAAGTACGATAAGAAGGCGAAACCCATGTGGGACAACTCGAAACCGATCAATGTATCGTTTTCTATGGATCTCTACCAGATACTAGAGCTGGTAGGTCTATGCCAACATTTTTTTGGGTTCAAAGTTTAGGGGTTGTTTGCCAAGTTTTTGTGGCTAGCGATTAATCATGTGTTAAATTGCGTGTATGCTATCGGAACCTGGCCAACTGTCCTGTTCAGGCCAGCATCTGCGAAGAAACTAAAGAAATGAATGAATGAATGAATGAATGAATGAATGGAATGATTGAATGAATGAATGAAATATAAGTAAATAAACAAATAAATAAATAAATAATTAAATAAATAAATAATTGAATGAATGGATGAATGGATGGAAGAATGAATGAATGAATGTATGTATAGGGTGATGGAACATGGATGAAACGTATTACATAATTATAAATAAACAGAAATAACGATGTATAAACAGAAATAACGGTTTAACTCCCTTTGTTCAGGATTGCGTTTAGCTGACTTGGTAGTTACAGTTAATGTTGATTTCCTGTCTTCTACAAGCCATTTAAAATCATTTTCTTGACTCCATCTTCTTTTATTGAAGAATCTCCATCACAAACTCAAAATAAATTTTATAGTACTTGAACTGTTAGCCAAAGCTATTTTTTATGAATTACATGATTCCAGTCAAATTATTATAAAATTCGCAAGACTATTGAGTCTGGTATTCATATTATGACAAGTTGAATTTTTTAGTTACTATTTACTTACTATTTTTTATTCATTCAAGTTGGGTTTTGCAGAACGAACCACAACAATACATTCTCCTAAATGCCTGGATCATCGAGGTGAGCGCTTTTGCTGTCAGATCAAAGATCAAGAGTAGAAACATACATTCATTCTTTCTTAGTTTGTGCACATGCTTCGGGCTTTTCGCTCCAAATAGAAGCATGCGCGTAAACAGAGTTTCCGGCCAAAAACTCATTGCCATTTATTGAGTCTGAGATAGAGGGGCCAAAGATTCCATAGAGAGAATTGGTGTATTTGTAAAATGCTTTTGTAGGCTCGTTTAAAAGAAATATTCGCAATTTCTACAGCCAAATCAGAAAGTCACTGATTCACACAACCGTTTATAGAAACAAAGACAGCCAAATTCGCTTTTTTTCTTGAGTCCGCTTTTGATTTTATTTGCAGAAACCATTTTGTTTCTTTCAGTCTTTTTGTATATGTCTGCAGGAAACTCTTTTATGTGCAGAACAAGACGTTTATCTCCTAGAGTTTGAGATTTCAAAGCCATCAGGCCATCAGTCATGATCTTACTTTCTATCTGTCAAGATTAGCAGGATTCTTTTTACAAAATTTTTATGCTGTTCGTTTTCCTGTCGCGTCGAGTGCTGTGATGCGTCTAGACCGACGCATCTTTGCCTTCATAATCCCATAATCCCATTGCTTATGTTCAAGAACCGAAGCTCAATTTTTTGTGAGTCCTACGACGCTCGCAAGTTTGCAAATTTGCTTGCAACAGAGTTTGCACCCCATTCGCATGTAAAAACACTTCTAAAATAAAGAACAAATTTTGCAGAAGGTTTTGAGTTAAAGAGGATGTTATGCATGATATAGTGAAAGAAAGTTTTTAGCGGAATTAAATCGGTTCTATTTTTCCTCAATTATTAGAAGCCCCACCCCTTTTTTGAGAACTTGAGGGAGAACTGTATCCAATGGTTAATAACGAAATGAGGACTCTACTTGATTTTTCACATTAACTGTGGTAAGAAAAACAATTTTTTGCACATCAGAGAATTTTTTAACTCAGCTATGAGCATGAATGTCAAATTATAGCAAATCACAATCACAGCGTAGCATAATTTTCCTTTAGAGGTGGTATGACGAATTTCTCTATTGGAAACCGGAAGACTACCAAAACATTTCCGAATTACGATTGCCTTACGACTCAATCTGGCTGCCGGATACTACTCTATATAATTCGTGAGTTGAATCAAAACAGAGATGAATAGAAGGGATAAAGTGATATCCCCATGCTTTAATGATATAGAAATTGACTAGTAAAATAGTGAGAAACGATCTTATCTATTCTACCTATTAAGATACCAAAAAGTACAGTTTTAACACCTCCTTAATGCATACATATTTACTGAAAATCTGATTTTAGCCTCGTCATGAAAGACGACGACACTCGTCGTCTGCTGAATGCGAAACTTACTACAGATCATAAGCGGAGAGCAGCGTTTATTGAGTTACTGTACCCGACAATCTACAAGTTCTCATGTCTTCTCGATTTGCGATTTTTCCCATTTGACGTACAGGTTAGTATTGGGAGGAAAATTAGACGATTCTACAGAATTCCATCACTGTAGCCGTGTAGGGAGTGTTTGAACTTTATGAAAAAGGGATCAGGAGATGGTACCGGAGAATTAGCTGACGATTTTAGTTTAGAACGAGTATAGTTCGTTATGTTACATAAAAGCTGCTCTCTTCCAAAAAAATGGTGCAAAATAAATGGTGTTAGTGCCAAGAGGGATTTGTGCATCAGAATTGGTTTTTAAATTCAGCAAACGTTTAGTATTCTTACTGCAAGCTTTATGAAAATTTATAGTTAATTTCGGACTCCTGAGATTTAGAGTGATTTTTGATTTCTCAAGCGATGACATATCTAATACTTAGGTATGCACTATGACGTTCTCATCATGGACCTACGACCAAAAAGGCATCGATTACTTTCCATATTCGGAGAAAATTGGCACATCAAACTACCTAGAAAACGAAGGCTGGTATATCTTGAAGACTAAAAGTAAGTGCTAACGCTTTGGTCTGCCATGAACATAACAAGACTAATAATTGCTTTCAGTTACTCGAAACGAGGTGAAGTATAGCTGTTGTCCAAATAAGTACACTCTTCTACAGTTAACCCTATACTTACGAAGAAAACCGCTTTTCTACATTGTGAACTTGATAATTCCGACTTCTATCATCACTTTGATAGCTATTGTTGGATTTTTTACGTAAGATTTTTTGTTTGTCAAAAAAGTGTGTAGACACAAAATTTTTATGCAGGACCTCCTCAGCTAGTGGGATGCGAGAAGAAAAGGTATCTCTTGGTATAACAACATTACTTTCTATGTCTATCCTCATGTTGATGGTCTCGGATCAAATGCCAACAACATCAACGTTCATCCCTCTGATTGGTCGGTTACTGTAGATTACCGTAACCCATACGTGCAACACTTGTGCAATTTTAGGGTGGTTCATACTCGCGATGATAATCGTTATCTCACTGGGTACGGTAGTTTCATCAGTTATCATCGCCATACAAAAACGTGGAAGCCATGGCGAGCGATTATCGAAGCGCGTGCTGAGGTGATTAGCCAATTACAGCAGAGTTACAGTAACCCGTAAATTCATTAGATTTTTCATGTAATGTTTTAGGATTGCAAAGATTATCGCATACGTGACTTGCACATCATTGCCATCACATATTGAAAAGGAGCAAATGATGGTGGGTGCAAATTCTGCAAATGCACAAAAATGTCTTTTCTGGAAATGGTAATAATGCTAGAATAGTTATGAGAATGTGCACCAAGTGAAAGGAATGTGATTTTTAAAAATGCAGATGTTGAGTTAGCAACTTGACATGTGCTTTTTTCTCGAAATTGGTTAAATCATAATCTTCAAAATTTAACCCCTTTACTAGGTGGAAAAGCAAAATTGCATGATGCAAATTGCATCATTATTTCTGATTGGTCGTGACTGTAGATTACCGTAACCGTTTGCGCAGATATCTGATTCGCGCAACTCTGGTTTCTTTCTTTCTCCTCAAGAATGAATAATCTTTTTTTTGATTTTATTGAAGAGGTTCCGAAGCTTCCAGGAAGCTTTCGATGCCCCAACACCTACTGTGGAGGTGTTAAAGCCAGTGAAAACACCGACAGAAGCGCAGAAGAGGTGGATGAGCATCAAAAAAGCGAAAAATGGTATAGCTGTCGTCTCGGATAAGAGTACCGATCCACTCATACATATGGGCAATCAAGGCGTAGGTTGGTCAAATGAAAAAAACCCTGTTCTACTAAGGAAAAACTCCTAACATGCTCTTGATGCTTATGCTTGATTTTAGAGGATGGTGCTTTCCCGGGAATGACGCCCACTGCACCTTTGCCTCCATCATCGGTGTTCGACGATGAAGTTTCACTCAATAGCGAACTCTCGTCCAGGCCAACGACCGGTCGCATTGTCAAGCAGAACGGCAAAAGCAACACATTTGCACAAATGCAAGGTGAGTGCAATTGTTTTCAAGTATTTTGAAACTACTAACTTATTGAATAGTGGAAAACAATAATCCCACCGATAACACTGAGCATATCAGTTGCAGTTAGCAAAATCAGCGACAAATTCACTCAAAGGCAGCGTGCTGGCAAATCTGAAGACAGGGGATCGCCCTGGAAACTAATTTTGGAAGTTCAGTCTGAGACAGTGCCCAAGCAGCAGCGCGGATGGTGAAGCTCGGTGGTTCTAGGCTTTACTGTAGCCTAAGGCGTAATAGGCCTGCTGAAGCGTGTTATACAGAACACATAGCTATTGAGCTTCATGAGTCAGGCGACGTGCGCGTATCAGTGCAGTGGTAGAATGCTAACGATAATAGGCGTGGAGAGTAACATAACAGACTATCACAGCAGATCATGCTTATGTCACGACCCGTACGGTACTTCGATGAGATTGAAGTTGCGGTTGTTGAGAAGGTGCCGACAATAGCTGCGCAGATGGTGCACTCACGGCTGAGGTATCTGCCCAAACCAGACTCCGCTACCGTACGTGACGGAGGGCTTGCATCGGGCATGCTATTGCTTACTGACCCACCGCCAACGTGCTGGGTCCCCGTGCAATACCCTGCAAGTCGAGCAAGTCCTCTGGTCTTCCGTTAAGTACAGAAATGAAGACAGGTGCCTGGACGCTGTCTACAAACTTCTTCTGTGATTGCTCGGAGCACCTTTCCGCTAGTGACCGATGTTACCCATACCTTAGATCCTTTGTTTTCTATACAGGATTCGCGAAAACGTTAAGGTTTTCGACGTCTTAGTGGCCTCTGCCGTGGACTGCTCCTCTTGCTACATTATGTAAGCTTTAAGCTCTATCAAGGAAGGTTGAAGAACCGATCAGATTATACACATTTATCCTAGTAACGTAGAACCATAACTAAACTACTATACCAAATCTACTGAAGGGCGGGGCCGCCTCACTCTACCAATGGCTCAGTCACACTAGTTCTAAGCCAAGTACCTTTTGAGGGCTGACTAGAAGATCCGCCGCCAGATGCCAAGACCTTAACATAGCGGTACGCCCGTGCACGCTCGCGATAACTCCGTTTTATCAACTAATCCAAGAAGGGATTTCATTACTGCGTGACAGGGCGCTCAAGCCTCAAATGGGAAATTTGCGATTGCGACCTTTTTGCACCTAAATGGCCTTTGGAATTTTGGATCGCTGCGATCAGAATGCCTGGGCGCCCCTCATCGGGTGAAAATCGCTCATCGCTTGGTTACCGGACATACCTAAAGCGACTTCATAGACTCTCACACACCACACCGCGTTATACGCACTTTAGATCTGCGCTGGTTTGTCTTAGGCATATCTATTCAAAAAATTCGAAAGAATGTGGCGCCATATGCTTTCAAAAAACGTTACTTCAAACGAGGGAGAATATAGATTTACCATCCCAAGTATTTATTTTTCTAACGACACAAGTTAACATCTGCAATGAAATCGACTACTAGTTCATAAAGTTTTGAAATCACTCTTTCAATCATTGAATGGCTTCGTGACAGTAAAGCCATGCTTTCGGCCCTGTAAAAAACTCTAGGTGGGCATATTCTAAAAACGAATGCTGCGCGAGATTTTGTTGCCAATCTGCGAACTACTGTGCATATTTGAGTAAGCGAGATTTCACGCCAATTCTACTTTAGAATTTGTAGCAAGAACATTCGGGATTTTGTGACCATTTTAGGTTGTCCGGAAATTAATGCCCGTTTTGAATTTCAACTGCAATAAGTCATACACTTCTCATTTCTGAATAGGTTGCAAAGTACCATTCGATAGAGCAAAGCAAGCTCTACAAGATGGCCTTCTTGCTTTTGCAACAGCTCTCACCCACCTCGAGTTTCGAGCCAAAAACTAAAAAGACTCAGCAGCCCAAAAAATCGAAAAAATCGTAACTCAGTTCATAAAAATCCTACAAAAATTCTTACTTGCTCACATAAACATTACCCACATAAAACATCTATATACGGCTTTGCCGCATTTTTTTCTCTGTTAGAAATCAAGAAAACGAAAATTTTCGTGCATTTGCCAAAGTGGTGCTGTGCGGTTCCCACATAGGTAGTTGTACACTACAAGCCCGTAGAGCTACAGACTTGAATTTTCAGCTCTCTACAAGCTTTAGTTCTCGAGAAATTTGAATTTTAGCTTGGACCACCTAACTAGGGAAAGCTATATTCGGTATTTCTCGAGAACTAAAGCTTGTAGAGAGCTGAAAATTTAAGTCTGTAGCTCTACGGGCTTGTGGTGTACAACTACCTATGTGGGAACGGCACAGCACCACTTTGAATGCACGAAAATTTCCGTTTTCTTGATTTGTAACAGAGGAAAAAATGCGGCAAAGGCGTATATAATGTTTTATGTGAGTAGTGTTCATTTGAGCAAGTAAGAATTTTTGTAGGGTTTTTATGAACTGAGTTACGATTTTTTTCGATTTTTCGGACTGGTGAGTCTTTTTAGTTTTTGGCTCGAAACTCGAGGTGGGTGAGAGCTGTTGCAAAAACAAGAAGGCCCTCTTGTAGAGCATGCTTTGCTCTATCGAACGGTACTTTGCAACCTATTTAGAAATGAGAAGTATGACTTATTGCGGTTGAAATTCAAAACCGGCATTAATTTCCGGACAACCTAATACTTGCTATTAATAGGGAACAGGAGAAGATTGATGCATGCGAGACAGTAAATGCTACAGAGGGTGAAGTGACATACGGAAAGCATTCTATAGGTAGCCATCCATTCCAAATCTGTCTTTCTTATCTGCTGAACGCGATGCATGTCTTTTTGAATTGTAGTCAAACATAGTAAAATCTACTGTAGAGGAGTTATCAGCAGTTTTATTGCAAAGGAATCGTTCTTACAAAATGCCAAATCATACACATGCAACAGTCTTTCCCAATCCTGATCAGGTCAAAATTGGCATAGCGGGAGTTCGCATGCTAGGGTTTTGCGTCATGCCCACGGCCCTCTTGTCAGCTCTTTCTCCTCTCTTTCTCCGACAGTGCGCATATGCAGCAAATTCCTATGGCTGCAAGCGCGCAAGTTTGCGCAATAGTTAGGATTGGTCGAGACTGGACTACGCAATCCACTCTCTTTTTTCGACCTAGCATTGAGGTAAATATGAATCGGGGTCCAGATTTGTACTTTGCCTAAATGGTTTCTTCGCAGTTAATGGTTTATACCCCTAGACTATTGACTCGACATAACGTACCTATACTAATCAGACATAACGGATGTTGCTCTCCTAAAAGCGCGCCAGCAGCAATACGAAACACTGTCTCAATTCTCGTTAGTTGCTTAAGCGTAGTCCAAGATTGGTGCAGAATTTTATAGCACAGATTACAGACTAACGTTCCGGCGAACTCGCCTTTTTCGGAGTCTGAACAGTTGAAGACACTAAGTAACTATCCGATCAAACACGCCGTCGACTACAGAAAAGGCAACCCCCTAAGAAAAACAACAGCCTCAACCAAAAACAAGACGATTAAGCTAATGCTCACCTTAGCAGATCATCTGATCATCTGCTAAGGTGAGCACTAGCTTAATCTTGTTTTTGGTTGAGGCTGTTGTTTACCTTAGGGGGTTGGGCTCTTTTCTGTAGTCGACGACATATTTGATCGGATAGTTTATTTATGTGTCTTCGACATTTCAGACAAAAGCGAGTTTGCCGGAATGTCTGTATTCTGTGCTGTAAAGTTCTGTACCAATCTTGGACTACGCTCAAGCAGCTAACAAGAGAATTACATTTATGCCAAGATTGTCTCGATTTTTTGTACACCAAAATCACAGTCTTCCTGTGAATAAGGATCCACCTACTGCCAAAGTTGGATATCACTATATCCGACGGATAAAGAGTTTAGCCAGTTTTCGATCAAGCTTCTGCGAGTCTGCGAGTCTACCAGCGGCCAGAAGTGCCTTGGCGCCGCCACCGCGGCAGTAATTACTGTCCTTTTTTTTGGTGTATCATTGTTTGCTTAGTAAACCTTTCAAACTGATTAGTTTTCTTGTTAGCTGGCATCAGCGCGCATCAAGACCACATCCCACCCTCGTATTAACTTTCGATAATTAACATATTAACAGAACTTTGAACAATCCAGCATCACTATCACTGGCTCTGCTTTACGATAAAGCATATCTAATTACATATAATCTGTATGCACATAAATTTCAAAATGTTACTCGACATTCAAAGATAAGATCTATTGCGGGCTTTCCGTTCCAATAAGGCTGGGTTTCTTTGATGCGTAAGTGCCAGAACATTTCCAACACAGCTCCCGAACTATGCGTTGTGGTTTACGAATCATCATGAAGCCAGCTCAAGAGAGAAAGAGAGAGAGAACAAAGAGCATCAGACGGAAATCGACTGCATTTGAGAAGAACTAACGAGCCAAACTTTTGCAATTCAAGACAATTTCTTTTTTTTTTATTGCAAAAGAGCATTATTTCCACCGAAAAATAAGAAAGTGAAACGGATTTACACGATACACAAGCAAAACTTCAAAGTAAGCAAGCATATTTTGCTGCTCCGTTTACCACTATTAAACAGTGCTAGCGTTACACCATCAATCTCTTTGTGACTCAATCTTTTATTTGTTGTGTAAGTTATGACAATCGAGAATGTAAATTTGCAGCATCGCTCAAACACAATCGTCAGTTAGCTGTGGCTGAATTTGAATGGTTAGCTACAGTCACTGAGCGCAGCTTCTTCGTCATCTTTGTAATTTGTTTCTTGATCATTACTGTAGGAATCAACTTTGTCGGTTTTCTGAACTGGTACACGGCTGGCATCAAGTATCATGACGATTAAATCTCACTTGTTCAAGGACCTGTCCCTGATTACTTGATAAGCTTTTAGTAATGATGTACATAGAGTTGCCTCGTTATTTTTGGACACTTTGAAATAATTCAGAGATATTCGCTACTAACCTTTAGTCAGAGTGATCTGTACCATATCTAGGTCTGCAATTTTCAATGTAACCTTGGTATCTGAACATCTCAAACTTGTTAATTATTGCGTTTATGCCGTATTCCATGTTTGCTGCAATCTCTTCAAATATGCAAAAACTCCTTTGGTCTCTGTGAACGATTGTTCTCTGCTTCTCCAATATTCCCTACAATCTCTTCACTTCCCTCCTCCCCATGCATAGGTTATTTTGAGCTTGTCTGATCGTGCCATAGTGCCAATAAATATTCGTTTTCAAAAGTCACTTTAATCAGGCAGGTGCTGATTCACTTTTTGCTTTGTATCCGTCGATTGTCCATTACAGAAGATATTTGCATTCACATAGGTTTAGGAGCTCATGCAGATCACATCTTTTTCTATCGCTCTTATCCTCACCCTTACGACTCCTTTAGAGGCTGATTCAGGTTAGACATTTTTTATGGAGATCACAATAGTGTGTCTGAAGAAAATACGATTTAGTGACTTCAATTCTTACCAACAACAGTAGGACCAACTACAACCCTAGCTCAAGTGGAGCGATCGCAAACCGATCGTTATTAATGGAAGACATACCATTGATACGGCTCACCCGCGATTTGCTTGCCAAGGATAGGTAAGATGTTTTGACCTATATTCAATCGCTTCGGAAGTCGAAAGGCACTTTTGAAATTTTTTCAAAAATTCTTGAAAATTTTTGTTTTTAAAATAAAATTTATTCAGCATTGTATCATTCATACTTCCGACAGATTTCAATAGATGTACCCATATATTTCAGATTTGTTGCTGAGCTTCTTAAAATTGTCTTGCAACTTTTCGTTTCTTCAAATGAGCACAAAGAATTCTTCTCTAGTGCAAAAAGTCAAATATTAGGTTGGAAACTTAGTTTTGTAATTGCTTTCATAACTTTACTCTTCTTGAACGTGGCGCACTCAAACGTTGGCTATATGTAGATCTCAAGTTAGCTACAACCATGCATGAACTGTTTGATTTTTGAAAACAAAATGAAAAATTTTCAAGCATTTTACTAAAAATAGTAAGTTTCGAGGATTTACGGGTTATAAGCAAAAATGGAGCCGTTCGTGGCTCATATCATGCATACTGATCCAAAACTCTATGTGGATTACTGCTTGAGGTTGAGTCATTTGCCTCAGTAGCAAAGGATAGAATTGAAAGACAAATCAAGATCTAGCGCCCTCGTGAAGTTGAAGTACGCAAGGCTGGTGGGACAAGTATTCATGAGTAAGGAGTGGGAACGTCAAAAGAGCGAAGACGTCACATAGTAAGGTTATTCGGCCTGCTAAACACGGGTATCATATTCGTCTGTTAAATTAACGTCTTCTCCATTGTTTAGGGTGAGACCCAATACCGTAAAGCCACAGTAATCCTTCAAGAAATCTGCACAAATTCAGTACATCATTCGTGATCAGCAAGTCAGATAACTTCCCTACGCCTAGCTTCAGCCGAATCCGTAATGATTTGTACTTCTCCCCTTTATACCATACACCTGCCGTAATCCTCGCCGCGACGTCAGAATTTAACAGAACAGCAGCTCTGCTTGTTGCTTACGTCATAACCTATACATTGGCAAAATGTGAATACTTTATATCAAACATAGAGCAAGATTATCTAGTGAGTTGCAAAACTTAGTTCTTAACCTAATAAAAGAATGAGCAGAAAGATCCAGCTAGTTTAAACAAACATGACTCTTCGTTTTTTGCTTCATGACATTTCGTCAAATGTAGGTTAAGCTGAGCTTTTTGTTGCTGATCGCCAGTTTTGGAAATTGGAGAAATGATTGTCATCTGCTAGATCTAGATCATAATTTTCTTTGAGTAAAGTGTACTTTTCAAATCTATCATTACAGGTATGACACTCGAGTGCGACCGATTATCGACCATACAAAGACGTTGAAGGTCCATATCAGCATCTCTTTATATCAGATTATTGAAGTGGTAAGCAATTACTTCACTGATTATGTCAACCTTGATTCAAAACCATCAGCGAAAGCTCCTTTCCCGCCACAACCTTGCTTTCTTCCAGGATGAACCTTCGCAGAATATCAAGTTGAATGTATGGATGATCCAAAAATGGAAGGACGAATACTTAACATGGGATCCACGTGATTATGGCATGATCAACTCAACGATTATTCCGTACAAATATTTATGGATTCCGGACACTTATCTGTATAACAGGTTGATTCACAAATACAAATATCTAATTTATCTGTTTGTAGTTCCATTTTTTTAAAATTCTTCGTGATGCTACTTTGAAACCAATGGCAAAATTTTTTTATTTTTTTCAAATTAGCTTTGGATTATTCTAGTTACAATTATTTGTTTAGCGTGAAGATGAGCCGCGATGAAACCGAACGGTACATGAATATCCAGGTGGAGTCGAATCACTGGAAGGGCGAAAACGGTTCACAGATGTCTTTCCTTTACCCGGCTATATACACCATCACATGCAGACTAAACATCAGGTGAGCTACTTTGTAATTTTTAAGTCGTAGTGCATGGCAGTGAAGCCAACAAATCTAATATTCCGGTAGTTGTTGAAGAGGATAAGTGCCCCAACAGCAGAAAAACAAGACTTCTAAATAAAAAGTTACCAACTTCGGAACTCAACAATGTTTCACTACTGTTCAAAGCTTTACGTGTTAATGGGTAGTGCTAATAGTTTCTTAGGACACTGGGCATCCGACATTCCTTCATTGTTTGCAATAGAACAACCGAAACACTTGTAAACATGGAGAGTGGAAACAAAGGGCCGCATCGTAGCGCAGTTTCACTCTGGGGCCATAAATCCGCGCTACACAAGAAAAGTCCTTTTAAGCGGATAACTGGAACAATGCCGGTTTAAGGGAAAGGGATTGTTGAAAGTAATTTCATATAGATATGAATGTGCCTACATTTGTGGCGGCTTGAGAGCATTAGTGATGAACTGAAAATATGCTGAAGTAGTTCCCAGGCATTTTTCAGTGGAGGTGTTTTTTGTCTTTAGTAAAACCTTTATATAGAGGGATACGTAATATCGTAAAATTCAAAAAGGGTCTGAAATTGAATAAGTTTGGCAAATATCCAACATTAGCATAGACTAAAGCTTTGATCTCGTTAGAACAAAGAAGTTTGGGGTCTCGAAATAAATTGCGGAATAACTTGAGTAGCTAGACGCACGCCAATCGTACTACTGAGCAATGGTTGTGCCTTTGGATGGATGACTATAGAAGCAAAATAATGGAAACAAAAAAAGCAAATCTTGTGTTTCCTGACATCCATAATTGTGTTCTCAAGAAACTACCTGTGATTGCTAGCAATTAGTTGATAAATAGATGTACATAAAAACTACAGAATAATGAAGGTAAAATACCCAGTTTGAAGGAGAGGTGTACTATTTAGTAGGTGGATCCGGAACTGGATTTTCAATAATCAGCTAAGACGTTCTTAATCTAATTTTTTCTCAGTATAGATAAAAATTCTTTATCGTGTACATCACCTATAAATCATACTTGCTATTTCATTTTTCGTCTCGTTTTGGACATATTTGAGGTATACATGTAGGTTTGTTTGAGACTCTCATATAAGTCAAATTTTGAGCAGACACACATCCAATAACTGCTTGACATTTACGGAAAAAACTTTTAAAATGCCTGTTTACACGATATTTGAAAAATGATATGAAAATTTCCGAGCTACTATTTGCAATTCTAGAAGAGCAAGATAGAATTACAAGACATAATCAATCCAAAATGTTTTTAGATGAAAATGATTTAATTTCTCCTTAAATGGAAGAAAAAGGACATCGTTTTTTTTGTGGAAAAATCAACAAGACGAACCAAAATAACTTATGATGATTACCATTCGATGGACCACAAGCTCTCTAGAAGATAGTTATCAAATACTGAATTCGTGATTCAAATGTTGAAGCCTAAATCTATGAACAATTCGTGAGCCGAATTGGATCTTTGCCCCGAAAGCACCAAAAAATCTTATTTGCTCCAGCATATAGCAGATACTTTTCATACATATATACACTTCATGATTTTTTTTCTTTGAAAAACAGGAAAAAAAAGAACAAAAAACAAAAAATGGCAAACTCCTCCCCTAGCAAGTTCTAGGTTCCTGCATTTGAGCACTTGTATTCTACAAGTCTTCGAAACTCTGACCACAAAATTTCACACTTGTGCATGCTCTTGTTCCTGGAAAACATTAATTTTAACTGAGAAAAGATGAAAAAGGCAATGAAGCGACATTTATTTCTATTTGATTTAAAGAGACTAGAACTATCTATACAAAGAAGTCGTTGTTGTTTCTGGCGGCTGAGTAGTAATAATCAAAGCATATGCTCTTGCGTGATTTGGTTTTTAAGCCCCTAAAAAAACGTAGTAAACACTTGAGCTTTCATAAACTATCGCGCAGCGCCATGAAAGGAGGTCCGACTAATCCATATGGACTCATATCCATATGGACTCATAATTTCTAGAAAAATACTGATGTATTACACAGACAAGAAAAATTGACGTCAAATGACCAAAGAAACTGCTAATGCATCGCTTCAAATGACCGGAAATAGAAAACGACTTTTTGTCGGTTTTCCATGCAAATCGAAGTGAGAAGTAAGAGCTTAAGCTGCATATAGGTGGCAAAAACACTGTTATGCCTGACTGCAGCTGGAATATTCGATAATCAAGTTTTCCGCTGCTAAACGCCCCGGTTAAACGAGGCTTGAAAGGTTGAGTGACCATCATGTAATTGAATAAGGTATTTATTATAGCACAACAGGTAAAGTATTTATCTATTTAGCTTGATACTCTGGTAAATTGATTTGAGGTAAAAGCAAAACTTTAGCAACTTTCTTTAATGCTGAAAAAATTAGATAATAAACATGAGAAGTTTACCTACACTGCTAAAATTTATTTTGACTTCGTTTTGGTAGAATATTAGATTGTTTTTCGGATCGGAATTTTTCAGAAGGGAGAAAAAAGCCATACTCATGAAAAATTTTCTACTTTGCTTGTCTAGATTTTATTGCACTAGAACTAATATGTGTGTAGGTTTTGTTCGTTCCCAAGTTGGCTTCTATTCTCTCAGATTTTGTTGCTAACCCTTCAAACAACTTCGTATACGATATTTTTGCAAAATAAATCCTATTGGGCGGCTTCTCGAAAAGAAGAATGATAGAAGACATAGTTACATCGGTTTGGTTTATTTATACTTGGGATGAAAAGATGTTAATTTTGATTTTTTATCTACGCATTTGGTTGTAACGTTCGGTTTTTGTTTCATTTTTTACGATATAAAATTTGCCCCTAAAGTTCTTTAGAACATCGTGAGCCAAAATTCGATTGCGACATTCCAGAACTCAAAATTCTTCATTCAAAGACATTTTGTACATTTTGTACACATTAGAAAAAGACCTCAAGAACGACACAGCATCAAAATGACCATCAGATAACATGCGTTGCTTCAGAGCTGATTTCATAAGTCGAAACAGAAATGCTTGGAGTAGGTGGCATGCGATTGTACGACGCAGTAGTAACATCACATTCAAATGCGATAGGTGATACGGACGATACACGATAGAAATCACGACAGAGTCTGGCAGCGACTTCACTGAAATAAAAGAAAATGTGCAGAAACCATGCAAAGAAGGAGGAAATCTTTGGTTTGTCAATCCACTGTATGCAATCTCAGGATTCTCGAGAATTTAAAGCTAAAGCATGGGCCCTAGTTCCCCTAGCATTTACAATCTTTTCAGATCGATTTCACAGCTTCTAGTGCTTGTCCAGGAAGACAGTAAGGATGAAGATTATAAGAAGTGCTCTAAGTTCTTAATAAAATGTACAATTCTGATAGGTGCAGTCAGATATTCGGCCATGTACAAAACCTGTACATGATCTTTTTGCAAGGTTTTCAGACTTGAATTTTTCGCATCAAAGCCTGTCCACAATCCCGAACAGCAAGTTTATGGGGACGCGAATCATCCTAGTTTGGGATTCAGCTGACATAAATTAAAAGGTATTTAGGTATCAGCGTTTGTGAAAAAGAGGAACTTTAATCGTCTTGATGTCTTTTTTTTTATGCTCGTCTTTTCGTCAGGATGTAGCTGACATTAATTACAGAGTATTTAGATATTAGTGTCTGTGAAAAAGAGGAACTTCAATCGCAAAAAGCTGTACCATTGTCTACTATCTCGTTCAATGTTAGCAATATCAGAAATTTCACTTCTCTCCCTAACCACTAATCAACATTAACATTAACAAGCTATTTTTTTCACCTGTCGGTTTTCTCAGACAATTCACCGGAACTTCCGCAGAACAACCAAATTTTGCAGCGGTTCCGCAGGATTTTGTTTTTTATTGCAAAGGAAGAAACGTTGAAAATGAGAATTCCGCAGGAAAAACAGGAACCTAGGCAGGGTTTTCACGTTAAGCTGGTTGAAAACAGGTACTTCCGCAGGGCCTTTTACAGAGCGCCGCAGAACTTCCGAAAAATGCCAGCGGTTCCGCAGCACTTTGAAATGCCGGTACTTCTGCAGGGTTTTGAATGTGTTGCGTCATGATGATGTTGCCCCGCCAACATCTAGAGTGTACTATTGAACATCTCAGCCTTAGTGCAGAAGATAGTAGGTGGGTCTCAGTCGATAAAACGAGGTTCAAATCTCGCTTAGGTCTTCTCTTTTGCTGTTGTGGTCGCATTCTTTGGAACTTCCGCAGCACGTTTACGGAACTTTCGCGAGTAACCCGGCAGGACTTTCCCAAACGTTCTGCGGAAGTTCCGGTCAGCTGTCTGAGCATTTTTAGCCCTGGCTAGGTTTCTCCAGTAGTTTGCACAGTTTTTTATTCTCAAAATTTGGTTGCGTTTCACTGATTCAGTAGAGGCCACTACGTGCAAGTTTTGCAAAAAAATCACATTTGTCAAAATCTCGCAGAAGAAGAGCACAGATGAGACGCTTTTGGCTGATTTATACGAAGAACATAATTCACTTTGAGTAAACCATGTAAAAACAGAAAATTGGATTAGGCGCAAAAATCAACCAAGATTATAGAGAAAAATTTGGGTCTAACACTATAAAACAGTCTTTGAGATTTAAAGCCATTAAAGAAAAAGAACTTATATTTTTTTCCTACTTACCATTTACAAACAGCACGCAAAACTTGTTCATTTGGAGCAAGAGGTGTGCCAGTTACAGTACCCTGCCCAATTCGTGTCATCATCTCGTCGAATTGAGCGAGCTGCGATTTTGCACGTACTCGTCGATACCGTAACCTGAATACCGTAACCAAACTCACATTTGGGGTACGATGTATAGAGAGTGATTGTCTTTTTTTATCGTCCAAAGTGTAATTGACTCACCCGACATAATCATAAACATTTGACAGAAATGATAGGCCAACTAAGATGAACACAATTACAAGCAGTGTTATCCACCAAGCCACTGGAATTTCTCAAGAAAGATCAAAATCACTGGTGTTGGAATAAAGATT